GCGCTTGAAATGTTTTACCCACTCAGGAGTGCGAGCCTCAGAAGCTCTAGTCACTGGGAAGTGGGAGCCTAGCTGTCGAGGACGATGCGGGGATCCATGACAAAGGAGCAGGAAAAGTTGCTGCAGGTTATGCAACACGTTTTAGATAGGTCTGGGAGTGGTCAGGATATCCAACTCGGGGATTAGATCCGTCTTTTAAAGTGGGGGTTGGAGAATTGTAATGCTTTAAGTGAGGACAGAAACTGTTTTTAGGGCTATTATTTCTATTCGCTATGTTCATCTGTATTATGTGTCGTATCCCTTGTATAATGATGCTGACACAAGGTATGGTTGAAAGTGCTATGAAAATGTTATCTGTTCGGGTCCTTCGCTACAATAGATTGACCTCTACAGATCACGGGGTGGCATGTATAGGAGGTGGAAATTTGTATGATCTGTAGAGTCATCCAGATCTTGAGAAAGAAGATGTTTGCCTGCCTGGGCTGAGCGATAAGGAGCATGGAGGCGGCTGCTGAGCCATGGTTCACAACCGACCTCCTCCAAAACCAGCTGAAGGCGGCTGTTCGACCGGGCTTGGAGCCAATTTAACCGCAGGCATCCTTTAAACGAGTTTGAAGGTCAAACACCCAAGAGGGAGGAAGAAGATGAGGAAGGCAGGACCCTCAGACTGAGGGCTGGGACCCCCTACTGGTATGCGCCCCTGCGTACCCAGGAGGGAAAGTTATGTTACAGAAAAGCAGAGTTTGTCCGCCCTCCGGCTTGCCTCCTGGCACGTACTGGCCCTACGTGCCAGGACGCACTGGGCATAAAAAGAAGCAGAGCGGTGAGACTCCTAACACCGAAGCCTACGTTGTCTCCGCAGGGACGCCCGCCAAGTTAGGAGCCTGTCAGCAACTCTCTAATCCGCCAACTCGAGAGAATGTTCAGTCTGAGTATCCTGCTGGCAAATATTACCTCAAGAGTAGTTATCCATACTTTGCTTCTTTAATGTGCTTTCACCTGAATAAAGGCTCGCCGTAGCCACCTTGTTTTGCATGATTATTGCCGAATCCCGAGCCCATCTGCAACATAATTGTCAACAAGGATGGGATTCAGCAATTGAAACAGTGGAACTCACTAGTGGAGTGCACAGCTACGTGAGGTCGTGCCACTGGATAGAAACTGTGTTCTTGCTATTTTTGTCTGTGATCTTTATGTCTTTATCGCATAATATATATAAGCAGAGAGGGCTGAATAAGTACAACAAGAAAGTGCAGAATTCGAAAGCAGGAAAGCCAGGAACAACTCAGACTGGGGCCCCTCCCCGCCCTCTCCCGGCCCGCCCCCCCACCAGAGGGTCACATGTTCCGGCGCAG